GCGCGCAGAGGAGGAGGCGCGGTGGCGCGCGGAGGAGGAGGCGCGGTGGCGCGGGGAGGAGGAGGCGCGGCTGAGGGCCGTCGAGGAGGCGCGGTGGCGCGCGGAGGAGGAGGCGCGGTGGCGCGCGGAGGAGGAGGCGCGGTGGCGCGCGGAGGAGGAGGCGCGGTGGCGCGCGGAGGAGGAGGCGCGGCGGCGCGGGGAGGAGGAGGCGCGGTGGCGGCGCGGGGAGGAGGAGGCGCGGCTGAGGGCCGTCGAGGAGGCGCGGTGGCGCGCGGAGGAGGAGGCGCGGTGGCGGGCAGACGAGGAGGCGCGGTGGCGCGCGGAGGAGGAGGCGCGGCTGAGGGCCGTCGAGGAGGCGCGGTGGCGCGCGGAGGAGGAGGCGCGGTGGCGGGCAGACGAGGAGGCGCGGCGGCGGGCAGACGAGGAGGCGCGGCGGGCGGTCGGCAAGAGCAGGGGCAAGAGCAGCGGGAGGAGGGCGGCGTGAGGGCCCAGCCACCCGCAGGGGCGCGAAGACGGCCACGCCGTGCGCTTTGGGTTTGGCCCAGGACTAGGTCTTCACAGAGGTCATGGGGCGCGAGCGCGCGATGATAGCCGCGCATCGCGCATCGCGCGTCTCAGATATGGGTGACAGAGGTAAGGGGCATGCAGGGGAGAGGTGGAAGGCAGAGTGAGCGAGGGGCTGAGTACTTGAAGCGGGGGGGAGGAGGAGGGGGACGAGGAGGAGGAGGGGGAGGTTGAGGAGGAGGAGGAGCATGAGCAGGAGCAGGAGGAGGGGAGGAGGAGGAGGAGGAGGAGGAGGAGGAGGAGCAGGAGACGGAGCAGGAGCAAGCGGAGGAGGAGGAGGAGGAGGAGGAGGAGGAGGAGGAGGAGGAGGAGGAGGATCACGCTGGATCATGCTGCGATGCCACACACGTGGCCAGTTCAATCGCTGTCATTGCTATCATCACCACTGCTGCCCAACCCCTGCAGACGAGCACCAGCGAGCACTGTCTGCCCCTGACCCTGGGCTCTGAGCTGGGCAGCAACTTCCTCAATCTCATTATCCTCATGCAAGCGAGCGGCGGCGGCAGCAAAAACAGCAGCCGCGTCCTCGCCCACGAGTGGGGCGTCCTCGCTGAGCGTCATCACATCGGCCCGCTCTCCGACAGGGCGATCGGACGAGCGGGCAACATACTCATCACTGAGGGGCCTCTCCTCTATTGGCCTCGCGGCACCACCCTCGCCCCCAGTTCCTACCCGAGGGGGTGGCGGGAGGGCTCTCGCAGCAGCATCCAGAGCCGCCGCCTCACGCAAGGCCACAGGTGGACCCCTTCTAATTCGCTTGAGATTCTTACCCCTTTTTTTTTTGTGTGTGTGTGTGTGTGTGTGTGTGTGTGTGTGTGTGTGTGTGTGTGTGTGTGTGTGTGTGTGTGTGTGTGTGTGGGGGGGGGGGGGGGCACGCACACATTATGAAGCCACCGACCGTCTGTCGTGGCTCTGAAACCACACCTCTGACAGAAGGTCACGCCGAATTTCTTCCTTCTGGCGGGGCGGTGGCCGGGGTGACGCTTCACGGCGCCACACCACACCTCTCCCGAGATCGCCTCGAAACCCTCTCCATACTCAGGCAGCAGACCCAGCGTTTCAGCAGAACCCGACGGCGGCGGCTGGGTCGGATCGCGACACTGGGTCGAGGCGACGGCGAGCATTTGGCTCCTCGGGATGATGACTTTACATATATCGCAACGCCAGCGACCAGCGAACGGGCGAACCTTGTGCGCACTAATATCGCGGGTCGCCTGGTCGAATTTTGTGGGCTTGCGGACCTTGGGCGTTGGCGGAGCTCTGACCCCTCCCCAACGTTCAACCTCGAGCGCCAGCAACATCGCCCTTCGGGCCCTTTTTCTCACCAGTGCCGCCGTCGTATCCCACAGTTGAGTCCGAGGGGGGGAGAAGCCACACACCACTCCCAGGCCCACTGGGCCACCACCCCCGCATAGGCGTCGGCACTGGCGTTGTCCTGGCACATAAATATTTCAAACGGCGACGTGACCGACTGCAACTTGTCCTCCGTGTGGGAGGGAGTCCACAACATCGAAACATCCCCAGGGCCACGGTTTCGCAGTGCTCGAGCCGCACGGACCCACCCCGAACGGGCCCCGAGGAGAGGAACCACGGCCACCGTGCCAGTCCGAAACCAAGCTCTTGCAGTCGGTTATGTAACACATCGGACCGTGAGACTGTTCAAGTGCCTGTCAGAACGCCTGAAGCTCTGCTCTAGAAACAGTTTGGCGTCGGCCCGACAGAATTTGTCCTACACCGCACTGAGGCACCCAAGAGTTAGGCGACGAGGGGTCCTGGCACATCATCACCACCGCCGAGCCGCATCGCCTACGTCTGGAATCCGAACTGTACTCGCCTCTAGATCCATCTTCGAAGATGAATACAGGGGGGTCTCCAGGCTCCGAACAAAAAATCAGACATGCACCCTTCCCCAAGAAGGACCTCCTGAGCCGTCTCCGAAGTCTCAACAAACCTGGGCACTGTGAGGTGCTTCGAGGGAACACCCCTGAGCCACAACGCCGGTTGGGCCTCGAGGCCCGCGAGGGCCTGGGGAATCAACAGCTCCGTTTCTGAAACATCTTCATGCCCGAAATTGGCTGGACATAGCCAACCGCGGTTGGCTAATGTTTCAGGCTGCTCTTTACATCGGGGGCACAGCGGCGGGCAGGCGTATCCTGCGGCGATCTGCCGCTCACGAGCCCACTGGCCCCCCGAGGTGACGGCAATGTCGGCGGCCCACTCTTCGAACTTGGACTGGGCAGCGAGGCGGTTCAGCTCAATCTGCGCCGTCTTCATGTCAGCACCTGCTGCCAGATCCTCGCCAGCCTCATGGTGGGCCGCCTCCTTCCACTGCAGCTGCACACAATCATCCATGACAGCTCCAAGCATATCTTCAACGTGCGAGGCTACAGCGGTCGCGAACTGCTCGTCACCAAAAGCTGGGAACAGCCAATCAGCAATCGTGCCATCGGGTAACGGCACCATACATCAGGACTCTGTGGATCCCAGCCAATCTGCAGAAGAGTGGCCTGCACCGCGGCGATGGGGCCGCGCACGTCCTTCCACTTCACAATCTGCCGCTCAGCAGCTCCACGACGCAACTCGGCAAGTGTGATCGGCCACATCTTACGGATACGAGGGTGAAGCATCGGATGGGATAACCACAGAGCGATCCACTCCTTTATCATTTGCTTCCTCAAGTCGATACCAGGATCGGAAACTCCAAACACAGCTTGCAATCCAGCATTCAACCACCTGCCACGCTTGGTGCCAGCAGCACTGGCTGCAGCGTCACGCCTCAAAGCCAACAGTGACGATGGAGGGGTTCCCATAATCTGATGGCCGGAAACAGCTGCAGGTAGCTTTCCAGTGCTGTAGAGCTTCTTGGTGATGAATCTGGTCTTGGGAAGCTGTCGCAAACGCATGACCTTACGTTGCCGTCGAGCCTGCGCACGTCGCTTCATCATTCTCGGTGCAATCCTCCGTCGCCCTGCAGCAGCGTCAGAGCCCAAGTCGACAGTGCAGCGCACGAACGGCACAGGGATACCTTTGCGAACCAAGCGTCTCTGTAACTCCATACCAGAGTCGTACGCCTTGGTGGGATCCAAGAACAGAGTCGCGTGCTCGAAGGAGAGAGCGTTGGCGCCTTCGTCCATCACAGCTCTGATATGCGCAGCACGTGGCGCTGACGATCCAGCAATCGCAGTATTCCTGAAAACAGATTGGGCAGCAGACCATTCATCTGAGTACTTTGCACGCACCTTGGACCATATTTTGTGCGGCGTCGCGACCAACCCCAAGACTCTGTTGCTCCTTGCTTCCCTGGGGATCGCAGCTCCAGGCACCGAACTGAGGGACGACGGCCAGGCGCCAGCCTGCTCGATACTGTCCAATATATCAACTAAGCTCTGCCTCGCCACCAGCGGCTGATGTTGAATATCTATGGGATTGAGCACGTCCACCCCCTTCGCCTTCTTCGCAGGCAGCGACGGCAACGCAACGTCCACGTCCAGGATGGTGATGGGAGGAAGAGGTGCCTCTCGAGCAGCTGACACACACTGGCCCATCATGTACAATATATCTGCAGGCTTATCCACTGGATCGCTCCACATTGCATTCCATTCAGAATCAGATGTCTGAAGTGACGTCTGCTTGTCCGTCGTGATCGCGCCAGTAGACTCACGGCTCTCCCACTCCAACGGAGGAGCCTGCTTCAACATGCCGATGTGCAGCTCCAGGCTTCGACGGCCAGGATTCCTTCGCCCACTTCATGAAAGACGCACGCGAAGCTAACAAAGCCTGCGACGACGACAAGTCCGCCCACTTCCGCGTGGTGTCCACCAGGGAGGGGAGCTGGCCAACTGGAACACGATCCAGGTCAGCAGCCATCATCGTTTCCCACAGCTCGATCTCCTCTGCTTTGGACTTCTTGCCGACGTGCTCCGTCGTCTTATCAGCAGGTCAATGTCCAATCCTGGCCTGAACCTCGCGCGCACAGTACGCAGCCTGGTCGTGATCAGCCCCGCTCGCGCGTAGGGCCGCATGCCGAAAAAGTAAAGTGCTGACTACACGCCCCACCATTCAGCTCGCTCATTCGCCATATGTGCACGCCCTGGAGAAGAAGTGACCCTGGCCCAGTAGCAACCTGGACCGCGAGCCCGACCTGAGAGCTGCATCCGAGTGCTGGCCTCCACCTGCTCGTGGATCAAGGTCGCGCGCTCCAGCGTATAGATCCAAGCACCCTAAGACTCATCCAACTGAGCACGCGCACCAGGTTTGCAGAGATCGGGCACCGTCGGATTCTGTGTGCGAAGCCTTTTGGCCCGAGAGGCTTTCGGCTTGGAACGGACTGAGAAAAGGTTCATCAGTTTCTCTCTTCATGGTATTGCGGAGCCTGGTTGGATCCTCGGTCTGAGAGACTGCCGGGGAGATCGCTGGCTGGCTAGACGCGGCACGAGATGGCTACCAACGAGGAGCTGTTCCGCCAGATGCAGGCCCTGACCGCGGAGGTGCAGAGGCTGAGCGAGGAGAGCGCTCGACTGCAGCGCGAGCAGCAAGGCGGGCTCCAGGCCATCCCGGCCCTCGTGGATGCGGTGACCCGCCTGACGGGTAGGCCCGACCAGTTCCAGAGGCTCGTCGACACGAAAGGGATCGGCAAGCCCTCGGTGTTCGACGGGTCGGAGGTCAAGTACCGCGAATGGGCTGCCAAGTTCGAGTCGTTCGTAGTCGGAGTCTTCGGCGAGCAGTTCAGGGCAGTGCTGGAGTGGAGCGTCGAGCGGCAAGACTCGATCGATCGCGGGCTCTGGCAGGCGGCTTTCGGGCCGCACAGCGAAGGCGAGATCGACCACATCGACGAGATGGTGGCGCAGCTGCACACGGCGATCCAGCAGCTCGTGACGGGCGAGCCCTTCGACATCACTCAGAACGTCGACAAGGGCAACGGGCTCGAGTGCTGGAGGCGCCTCGCGAGGAGGTTCGACCCTTCCACCGGCGGGCGGAAGCGGAACTTGTTGAAGCAGGTGCTCTCGCCCGGGCGCTGCAAGCTCGATGAGCTCGCGGGTGCCCTGGAGAGGTGGGAGGAGGCCGTGAAACGGTACGAGTCCAGGAGGGACGACGACGGCAACCGCGAGCGGCTCTCGGACAGCGTGCGGATGTCTGCCTTGGAGAGCCTGCTACCAGCTGAGCTCGAAGAACACGTTCTTCTCAACCAGAGCCGCCTGAACACCTACGAGCTGCTCAGGAGGGAGATCGCGTCGTACCTGGAGGCCAGGACCGGTGCTCGACTTCGAGACGCCCCGGTGCTCACCAAGGCGCAGCGCGACCCCAACGCCATGGACATCGGCGCCCTGGTCCGCGCGTACCAGTGCGGGAAGGCCGGCAAGGACAAGGGCGGCAAGGGCAAAACGGGCACTGGCAAAGGCAAGGACGACAAAGTCAAGAAAGGAGGTAAGGGCTCAGGCCCAGGCCCAGGCAAGGGGTCCGACACGTCCCACCTCATCTGCTGGAACTGCGGGCGTTCGGGGCACAAGAGCTCGGACTGCTGGAGACCGTCGGCCTCGGCGGAGGTGATCGCCAAGGCTAAGGCTAAAGCCGAGGGCAAGCAGAAGCCGAAGGGCGGCGGCAAGCACGACGCGGGCGCGCTGGACGTCGGGAAGTCCGAGGAGGAGGCCCCGGGCAACTGGGAGCCAGAGGACCACATGTTCTTGGAGCTGTTCTCCGCCGAGCGCGAGGAGAGCGCGAAGGAGGTGAACAGGAGGATCGTGGACGACAAGGGCTGGGTGAAGGTCAACTTCGACAGCGGATGCGCGAGCTCGGTGATCCCCCGCGAATGGACTCCAGCGACTTCGGCCCCTTCGAGTCAGAGGTTCAAGACGGCGAGGGGTGGTATCATCGCAGACGAGGGCGGCGGGGTGCTGGAGGGCGTCAACGAGAATGGCGCCAGGATGCGCATCGCCGGGCGCAGGGCTGCTGTTACCAAACCCCTCGTCTCGGCCAGCGAGATGCTCAAGAAGAGGGTCGGCATCCTGGACGAGAGCTGCGGCGTGGTGATCGAGAAGGGTTCCACTGCCGGACGGGCGATCATGAAGCTGGTCGCTAAGCTCAAGGAGACGGGAGCGCTGGAGAACAACATCAGGTTGCACCAGGAGCGCGGGGTGTACAACGCCTACCTGAAGTTGCCGGAGGAGAAGGCCAGGGAGCTGGAGCAGTTGCCGCTGAACACGATCGAGTCGGAGCTGGCCCATCGCCGAGCCGAGGCGGATCTACTCGCTCGAGCACGTGCAGGGCTTGCTTCGCCGGCCCGGCCTCCCGCCTTGCAGGCGTCGGGGGGCAGCCGGCGGGTGCCACCGTAAGCCCGAGCGCGCCGCCAGCAGCCGGGCAGCTGGCAGGAGGCGCGGAAGCCCCGGTGGGGCAGCGAGGAGGACCGCTGCCCCAGGAGGAGGAGGCTCGAGAGCAGCGCGGCAGGCCGCCGCGGGTTCGGCTGGCTAGGAGTCCAGCCCAGCCGACCGCTCTCGAGATCGAGGAGCACGAGGCGCAGGGCCACGTCCACTTCAGGTCCTGGTGCCCTTCGTGCTGTGCATCGCGTGGGACTGGCCAAGCGCATCGTGGACACCAACCTGCTGAGGGAGAGGTCCCTACGGTCGTCACCGACTACGGCTACCTCAACGCTAGCGAGTCGGACAGCAGAGGCCGCGACGCCAGCTCTGCGATCACGGTGTTGGTGATGCACGACTGCTTGCCGAGCGGGACGGGCTGCTACGGCGCGAGCTCGGTCCCGGCCAAGGGGAAGGACGACTTCAGCTCGAGCGTGGCGGTCGACTTCTTCAATCACATCGGCCACAAGAGGTGCATCTACCAGTCGGACGGCGAGAACCCGCTGCTGGCGCTCAAGAGGGACGTCTGCAGCAAGGCCGAGGGGAAGGAGCTGCTGCTTCGCGAGAGCCCGGTGGGAGAGCACCAGGCGAATGGAGCAGCCGAGAACGCGGTGAAGGTCATCAAGGGCGTCGTCAGGACGGTGCTGGTGTCGGCCCAGGCCAAGTGGAAGCAGCGTCTGCCGTTCGGGCACCCGCTGATGCTGTGGGCCCCCACCTATGCGGCCCAGATGCTGAATAGGTTCAAGATCGGCGACGACGGCAAGACGAGTGAGCAGAGGAGGTCTGGCAAGCGCTGGGAGAAGGTGACGGTTCCCTTCGGCGAGCGCATCCAGGTGAAGAAGCTGGTGAAGGACTCGCTCAAGCGCGACCTGGAACCCCGCTGGGTCACGGGCTACTACGTGGGCCACACCAGCAGGAGCGGCACGGCGCTGGTGCTCACCTCGAAGGGGGTGCAGCGCGGCACGGCGATCTCACGCCTGCCGCCCGCCGAGCGCTGGGCCTGGAACGAAGAAGAGGTCCTCGGGCTCAAAGGCAAGCCTTGGGGCTGGAAGGACGGCGAGGAGCGCTATGCGGCAGCTCCGGCGGACGTCGCCCCGAGAGCTGGGCGCATGGATGCGCCAGTGGTGGTGGCGCTGCCAGCAGCCGCCGAGCCGCGAGACGTGGGCTTCTACGTCACCAGGGCCAACATCCTGGACGCGGGCATCGGGCCGACCGAGGGCTGCGTCGCCTGCGAGAACCTGGTGGCTACTGGGCGCGCAGGAGTTGCCCACTCTGAGCTGTGCCGACAGCGCGTGATCGAGGCGCTGGCGGCTCGAGGTGATGAGCGACTTCGCCGGTTCAGGGAGGCGAAGGCAGCTGAGGAGGAGCAGGCGAGAGGAGGCGAGGCAGGCCGAGCGGCGCCAGGAGCCGCCGCCGCCGCGCCGCTTCCCCCACCAGCCCCGAGAGACCTCGAGGGCAGGAGAGGCGCGAAGCAGGCGCGGGCGGATCCGCCGCCCGTGGGGTCTTCGGCGCCGCGCGTCAGGAGGCGCGAGGAGGAGCAGCCGCCCCAGGAGGCGCGTGCAGCCCCCCAGCCTATGGCGGTGGACCTTCGGGGCGCGGCCCCGAGGCCAGCAGGAGGAGGTGCAGGAGCGCCGCTCGCGCTCCCTGCGCCGGCCGGGTTAACGTCACCCCAAGCGGGCCCTGGAGGCCCGGCGCCAGCATCCGCGGCGGCTTCGGGCTCGGGAGGCCCGGCGCCGGCGGCGGCAGCACCAGGCCCAGGAGGCGCTGGACCTGCTGCCATGGAGACGGGCGGACTCGAGGAAGTGCCGCTCGAGTTGCAGTCGCTCGCGTTCTCGGAGTACTGCAACCCAGGATGCTTCACTGAGCTTGCTGGAGAGTTTGGCATGCTCCCAGGGCTAGCGGCGGACATCAGCCTCAAGGACCGGGAGTCTCAGGAGGCGCTGGACATGAGGAAGATCGTGAACCAGCAGAGGTACATGCAGGCGCTCGAGGACCAGGACCCCTACTTGGTCATCGGGGCGCCGCCCTGCACGCGCGTCTCGAAGCTGACGAGCTTGAACCGCGGCAAGCACAAGGACCCGGAGGCGCACGCCAAGGCCGAGGAGGACGATCGTGCGTTGCTTCGCTTCGGGATGGAGGTCTACAAGGATAGGCACGCCAAGGGCAGGTGGTTCTTGCACGAGCACCCTTGGGGCGCCAAGTCGTGGGACGACGAGGCGGTGAAGGAGGTGGTCTCGCTCCCGGGGGTGTACCTCGTGCGAGGGGACATGTGCGCCTGGGGCCTAGAGCTCGAGGGCGACGACGGGAAGGTCGGGCCGGTCAAGAAGAGCCACCGGCTGGCTGGCCAACAACGAGCGCCTTGCTAAGGTGCTAGCAGTCTGTTGTCCTGGAGGACATCGACACGCACCGCTACTTGGCGGAGGCCGTGTTAGGAAGGCGCAGTCCTACACGCCTTCGCTACGCCGCGCGATCTTGCAGGGGCTCAAGGAGGAGCTCGAGATCGCGGGCGAGATCAACTCGTTCGAGGGCGTCGGGCCGGTGCCAGACGAGGAGGCGCAGTACTTCAAGCCAGACGCCCCTCCAGGTGCAGCGGAGTCGGACAAGTGGTACTGGGACGACGTCAACGGGGGCTGGCTCGACCCTGCGGGAGTACGGGCCGCGCGCCAGGAGGAGCTGGCCTGGATGAAGCATCGCGAGGTGTTCGAGCCGAGCGACGAGGAGACCTGCAGGCGCCTGACCGGTCGGGCGCCGCTACGGACGCGCTGGGTCGACACCAACAAGGGCGACGAGCAGAGGCCAAAGTACCGCTCCAGACTGGTCGCGATGGAGATCAAGGCTGCGAAGAAGGCGTCCGAGCAGATGAGCGCGAGCGAGCTCTTCAGCAGTACGCCGCCGCTGGAGGCGGTCAAGCTCCTGTGCTCGCTCATGGTCTCGATGGGCCGCTCGCCCCGAGGACTCCCTCTCAAGATCGGCTTCTGGGACGTCAGCCGGGCGCACCTGTACGGGGACGCCCAGAGGGTCTTGTTCGTTCGTCTTCCGGAAGAGGAAGGAGGAGGAGTCGCTCGCCTGCTACGCTCCATGTATGGTACTCAGGACGCGGCTTCAGTGTGGCAGAGCGACTGGAGTCGACAGCTCTTGGAAGATTCGTGGCGCATGGGCGTGGCAAGCCCAGCTGTGTTCTATCGTTCTAGTGATGAAGGTCGCGGGTTGGCTCACGGCGACGACTTCATGGTGCTCGGCGACGAGATCACGCTGAAGGAGATCGAGACGAAGCTGACCGAGCGCTACGACATCAAGTGCACCGGGATCTTAGGCCCCGACAGCGGGGACGCGAAGGAAGTCGTGTTCCTCAACAGGGTGTTGCGGTACGTTGACGGCTCCACCCCGGCGGTGGAGATCGAGTCGGACCAGAGACACGTGGAGCTGCCGATCAAGGAGCTCGGCCTCGAGAACGAGTCGAAGGGCTTGGACGTGCCGTCGGTCAAGAAGACGGAGGCGGACATCGACTACGAGGCGAAGCTCAGCACGCTGCCCCTGGACGAGGTTCGCCGGTATCGAAGCGTGGTGATGCGTGCTGCCTACCTCACCTAGGACAGGCCAGACATCGTCGACGCGGTCAAGCAGTGTTCGAGGCGCATGCAGGCGCCGACGTCAGCAGACATGATGATGGCCAAGAGGCTTGGGAGGTACCTCGTCAAGCACCCGTGCCTAGTCGCGAGGTTCAACAAGCAGAAGATGCCTGACAGGATCACGGCCACCTGCGACTCGGACTATGCGGGCTGCCTCATCACCAGGAAGTCGACCAGCGGGACCGTCCTGGCGTTCGGGGAGCACACGCTGTCGGCCACGGGATCGCTGCAGAGCACGGTGTCCCTTTCGAGCGGCGAGGCCGAGTACTATGGCATCCTCCGTGCGGCTGCTGCCGCGCTCAAGGTTGCTGCCATCGCCGTGGACCTCGGGCTCGAGAAGAGCGTCGAGGTCGTCTGCAAGCACGGAGAGTTCCCGATAGAGGTCTGCGGGGACTCGACGGCGGCGATCGCGTTCGCATCGCGCCAGGGCCTGGGTCGTCAGAAGCATGTGATGACGAGGTACCTGTGGCTTCAGAGCGCGGTCAAGGCCAAGAGGATCATGCTCAAGAAGGTCGACACACGGGAGAACGTGGCCGACTCCTTGACCAAGCCGTTGTCGGCGAAGGTGGTCCAGAAGCATCTCAAGAGGATGGGGTGCCACTTCAGGTCGAGGTGGAGCGCCCTGCACCGGACGATCGCCAAGAGATCGGCGACGTGAGGTTCATGAGCGGGGTGCTGTGCCAGCTTTTCGTGATGGGCACGTTGCCCGTCCCACCATTTTCCTGTCGCTTCGCGACGCTTGCACGACCGGCCTGTGCGGCGAGACGGTGCCTGGTGGTGGCTGCCTAGCTTAGGGGCTAGTTGCCAAGGAGGAGTGCAGAGATCGGGCACCGTCGGATTCTGTGTACGAAGCCTTTTGGCCCGAGAGGCTTTCGGCTTGGAACGGACTGAGAAAAGGTTCATCAGTTTCTCTCTTCAAGGTTGCCATTCAAACACAACGTGTTGTCGCCGATCAGAAGCTGCAGCCTTGCCTCGAGATCCCCCTCGCTGGTCATCATAAAGCTGAGGGATACCTTCCCAGTACAGCTGGGTCTGAGCTTCAAACCACGTGTCCTCAGGGATGGCGAAAGACACCGACGGCGCAGGCGGCGAAGCTGGCGGCTCAAGCTCGTCGAAGCCCTCCTGCAGCTCGATGGGAAACGCCTGCAAGCGCCGCTGCCTCTTCTCCTCACGCTTCTTGGACCGCTTGCTCTCGCGTCCTCGGACTCATCATGACGAGATACTCCTGCAGCCCCGCCCCTGCAGGACGGGCTCGCCGCCGTGCTAAACACGGCCCGTACCAGCACCAGCACCGGCAGGGCCCTTGCCAGAGCCCGCAGCGCCGCCTTTGCCAGAGCCAGCGGCCTTGCTAGCAGCGGCCTCGCGCGCCTGCGACTGAGCGCTGGTCTTGATGCGCTCGAGCATGGCCTTCTGGTCGCTCTCCTGCACCACGGCCTTCGACTTGCTGGGCCCGGCGGCGGCAGCAGCGGCGCCAAGCGTCGCGGGGGCCCTAGAGTTGGCCGCAGCCGTGCCACCCGCGCCGCCTTCGACGGCCTCGCCATCGGCGCCGCGCTTGCGCCGCTGGGCCGCCACCTGGTGCGCCGACCGCGCACGCTCCAGCAGAGTCTGGAGCTCCTTCTGCCTGGCCTCCGCCTGCTGCGTGAGGTCCTGCAGCTGCCTCTGGAGCTGCTCGGGCGCCTGCTTGTCGTTCTCCTCGAGCTCATCGAGGCTCTCGAGAAGCTCGGGGTCCACCCCGAACAAGGACTGCTTGGCCGTCTCGGGCGGGTTCGCGGCCTCCTGCACCTCCAGGCGATGCAGCTCGGCTGCCATGACCGCGTCGGCGGCCTCGTCGAACTTGAAATGGGCCTTCTCGAGCTGGAGGCGAGCCTGCACCAGCGTCTTGGCAGCCCTCTCCAGTGCCTCCCGCTTGCGCGAGCAATCTGCCGTAGCCTCCTTGAGTAGCCTCCTTGAGCAGCGCATGCGGGGGCTCGGGCGGCGCAGCAGCCGGCACAAGCTTCTGGGACGCCAGGATGCTGAACTCCGTCGCCAGGCGCGTCGCGTCGGGGTCCCCAGCGAGCCCAGCACCCGCGAGAGCCTTCGACAGGTAGTCCCCGAGGTTGGCGAGAGACGGCTCAGACTGCCCATGCTCATGCCACCCACCGCCCGAGGACCACGGCGCCCACCACTTGCCTCTCGCAGTGGTACTCCATCCTGGCTGAGGTGTGTTGCTAACCGCGCACGCCCCCTTCTGCTTCTTGAGCCTCCAGTTCCACGCCCAGTTGCCACAGTGCACGCAAGTTGAGAAACCCTGCTTGCCATACTTGGCCATCCGCTCCTGCAGAAGCTCACGAAAGTATGCTCCGACAGGAGCTCACGAAACACTTCAGACTGACTC